ATTTACCTTATTACCCTTGTTTAGAAAATATGGTACCTGGAGGTCAAAAAGTGGTATCTTCAGTTCAAAAACGTGGTACATTTAGAACAAAAGTGGTACCTTCGTAAAAGGGACTTATTTTTGCAATTGAAAATAGCATTAAACCCCACACCGCTAATTAAGTTGCACATTACATCCATAAACAGCTCCATTAGCGTCATGAATAACACAAAATATTCTCCAAACTAGCTAAGCGAGTATTTAGAAAACATGGTACCTTCAGTTCAAAAACGTGGTACCTTTAGAACAAAAGTGGTACCTTCGTTAAAGGGACTTATTTTTGCAATTGAAAATAGCATTAAACCCCACACCGCTAATTAAGTTGCACATTACATCCATAAACAGCTCCATTAGCGCCATGAATAACACAAAATATTCTCCAAACTAGCTAAGCGAGTATTTAGAAAACATGGTACCTTCAGTTCAAAAACGTGGTACCTTTAGAACAAAAGTGGTACCTTCGTAAAAGGAACTTATTTTTGCAATTGAAAATGGTATTAAACCCCACACCGCTAATTAAGTTACACATTAGATCCATAAACAGCTCCATTAGCGCAATAAATAACACAAATATTTCTTAATTATCATATACTACATCTAAATAGTTAGTATGGTAGATTTTTTTTTTCGCACCATTTTAATCGGCAAGGCTGTTTGGGACTTTTGAATAACTATTTCAATAATGCAATTGTTAAAAAAATTATGATATCCAAAGATCATGTTTGATATGGATCTAGGTCATAATTAAATCTTTAGAATTTTTCAATGATAATAGGGAAATAATTTGGTCTCTAGACCTCTTATACATGAAGATCATTTAGAATTTTGATATAGGTCTGGGTCCTAATTAATTGTATGATGCTACTTATATATATATATATATATATATATATATATATTCATGACAATCATTCTATTCTCATCATACAATTAATATATATATATATATATATATATATATATTAATTGTATGATGAGAATAGAATGATTGTCATGAATTCAAACATACATCTTATACATTATAACTTAAAGAGATTAATGTGTTATTGAGATTCTGGAATGCCCCAGTCTAGAATTATATTTTTCTTTACATACAATTATAATTATACTGATGTGTTATTGAAATTTTGGAATGCCCCAGTCTAGAAATTCTGGAATGCCTCATCTTATGCATTTAATTATATTTTTTCATTTTGTTTAAGAGTTTGAAAATTTGTCCACGTTTTCAGTTCCTATTTTTCACCTTTTCCGTTTCGCCAACTTCTTTAAGGTTGGTTAATTTTTTCGTTAATATGATACAATTAAATGTAGTAACTTTTTTTTTTTTTCTTTTTTTTCTTTTTGACAGTGTGATTGGAAGATCGATTCTTGCCATCAAGAATTTGAATGGATGAATGGGGGTTAATATTACAATCAAGACTTTGTATGGACGAGTGGGGGCTAATAAATTTTCAAACTTAATAATTGTGTTCTTATTTTGCAAAAGATGATTGCTTCCTTTAAATTTAGTGATTTAGTTTTTTATTTCTTGTTGACTTTATTATATTGGATGGATGATAACTTTTTTGACATTCGTGGTGACTTAAAGTATTTTGTAGACATGGTACTTCACTTGATGGTTTTGATTTAATGAAAAGTAATGGATTTTGATTGTTCTATTTAATAAATACATGTTAGGCTCTTCTATTTAATAAGAAGGTTTATAAATTTTTCAACAGCAGTATTAGGAAATTGATGATTTTCTTGACAAATGGATTTAGTCCCTGTTTTGGAACATTGATAAATGGTGAATTTTTTAATTGTAGAATGAATTTTTTGTTGTAGTGATAGGCATTGATTAACATTGATGATTTTTTTAATTGATGAACGAATTTAGTTCCGGGGAGAAAAACTTTGAAGAAGTGAGGGCACTTATCAGGTAAAGAGAACTTTTTGCCAGGTTTCATCATTGTTTGATCTTACTCCTTACAAGCTTAAAGCCCTAACCCTAATTTCGACAGCTCTTACATTAATTTGTGGAGGTAAGTTCCTATTTTGTAAGAACCAAGCGCACCTCCTGAAGGATAATTTGGGTTACAGGTACTATTCCATTATGGAATTGGCTTAAAAGCAGCTTCTTTACCTATCAAGTAAAGAATAATTGTGTTTACGATATATTGTAGAATTAAAAAAAAAAAATAAAAATAAAAATAAAAAATTAGCAGATAAACAATGTTCCAAGTGATCTTGGAGTATATTTTGTACTATTCATTCCCTCAAGTCAGCTAGACTGGAATATAGTTTGTACTCTTTATGGCACTAATTGATTTATTTGTGGATGTAATATGCAACCTAATTAGCGGTGCGAGGTTTAATACCATTTTCAATTGCAAAAATAAGTCCATTTTGCGAATGTACCACTTTTTTTCCATAGGTACCACGTTTTTGAACTAAAGGTACCACTTTTTGGCCTCCAGGTACCATGTTTCGTAAACACTCGCTTAGCTAGCTTGGAGAATATTGTGTTATTTATGGAGCTAATGGAGCTATTTATGGATCTAATGTGCAACTTAATTAACGGTGTGGGGTTTAATACCATTTTCAATTGCAAAAATAAATTCCTTTTACGAAGATACCACTTTTGTTCTAAAGGTACCACGTTTTTGAACTGAAGGTACCACTTTTTGGCCTTCAGGTACCATGTTTTCTAAACACTCGCTTAGCTAGTTTGGAGAATATTTTGTATTATTCAGAGCGCTAATGGAGCTGTTTATGGATGTAATGTGCAACTTAATTAGCGGTGTGGGGTTTAATCTCATTTTCAATTGCAAAAATAAGTCCTTTTTACTAAGGTACCACTTTTGTTCTAAAGGTACCACGTTTTTGAACTGAAGGTACCACTTTTTGGCCTTCAGATACCATGTTTTCTAAACAAGGGTGATAAGGTAAATGCATTGGAATAGGGAGAAGGGCATTTTAGGTAACAAAAAATTTTAAACAGTAAAACTTCATGTGCTATGTCATCATTTAGGTCAAACTCATTTTTGTGAAAATATAAGACTTTGACTACATCTATGAGTAAATATGGCTCCCTAACTCCATTTATATATAAAAATCCCTTTTTTTTTTCCTATGTTTTTTGGGTCACTGTGTAACTCTTCAACGTGCTTGATTGACGTTTTCAATGCCATATACTTTTGTTGAGGAGATCAAGAGTGAAATTGATAAATCAACGAGTCAGTGACCTAGTGGTATCAACTTCTTACTTCTCAAAAAGAAGTTAAGGGTTCAAGTCTCAGTAGAGATATGTATGTGTGAGTACCAATTAGGAAAAAAAAAAAAAAAAAAATTTGATAAGCTCGGGAAATAATTTTTGAATAATTAATTAGTAAGTTGCTTTGGCTAAATTTTCAAAATTTATTTTTTTCACCAACACCAAAAAAATACAAAATATTTTTCCAAAAATATTGTACGCTCAAACAAAGGAGCCTAAAAGCTTGCAATTATTTATTTTCTTTTTACCACCATTGCGCCATTTTATTTATTTAATTGTCTACTACGGAGGTGAAATCCTCACCTCAACCCTCATTTGAGATTATGCAAATTTTTATCTTATCTATCATGTATATCCGTCAATCAAAAAAAAGGGACCGATTAGAAGAAATTTTCTACCAAAGTTTAACACTGAAAAACAAAAATGATTTGCTGACAATTTATTGAATGAACTTGTGATTAAGCGGATATGAAAGCTTTGTGTCAACAACAAATTCATGGCTAACAATTGAGTCCAAAATTTATTTTGGATTTTACTAACTAGTTTGGCCTCTATTTTATCGCATGCTATTAATGTTTTCTTGGCAAAAATAAAAAAAAAAAAAAAACAAAAAACAAAAACATAGCAATGTTGCAATTTGTCATATCTGCTGTGTTGAGATCATGTACATTACAGCAAGTGCCTCCGTCGCTTCTTTCCTATCGTTGGATGGCTTTCAAGGAATGGTATATCAAAGTGCATTATGCAAGCATTATTCATTAACCTAATTGATATAGCATCCAGCTGAGTGTGTACTCTATCTCCTACAATAAGCACATTACTTGCAAATTAACATTTTTGTGAGGAAATTCCTCACAAATTAATGCCCAGAAAAGAATTTCATAAAAAAAGATTACAGAGATTTTCGTCAGCAAGTAAAAATGTTTATTCTTAGATTTTCTAAAAAGGATCCATTAAGTGGTAGCAGTACAGTATGCATTGTGGTGTTGCAATTGCAAACAATAAATACTCCTATGGACTGACACTTGCATTTCTAGTTAATCAACCGTACCACAAAAAAATAATTAAAAATAAAAAATAAAAAAATCGTGATATATACCGTAAAATACTAGACCATACCATATTGGCATACTATTATCCTCTTCTTTATTTTATTTTATTTTTTTCCTTTTACATATCCCATATGTTATATAAGTTTCAGCCTTTCTAAAAATACAATTGAATAAAACAAATATGGACCAACAAACATAGAAAATATACTATAATGAAAATAACACCACAAGAAGAAGAGGAAGAAAGTGGTAGCATTAACTTTTAAATTCCAACAAACGATCAGCTAAATCGAAAGAAAAAATAGTAATAAAGAAAGCTGTACATGTCAGAAAGCTATAACTAGGCAATTACCTGAAACATTTGAGTGAAGTTACTAATCTTCCGATATAGAAGAGTCAAGATCAGTAACAGAGCATAAAACTATACATAGAATAGAATCATTACCATAAACAATAACAAATAATTACATGCAGATTATAGTACCATTCATTATCATATCATTAAGCTATAAACATACACAGTATTAGTAAAAAAAAACAAGTTGGTAGCATCAACTTTCAAATCCAACAATCAACCAGGTATATAGGAAGGAAAAATGTAAAAAAGAATGCTGAACATGTCAGAAGCTTATAATTTGTAGATTCACCTGAAACAGTTGAATGAAGAAACTAATTGATCAATATAGAAGAGTCAAACAACAACCAAGACACTAAAATTATTACATTTATTTAAACAACAAAAGCAGATAATTACATACAGATTATGGTGACATTCATTACTACCTCTCACTCACGCGTAAGATTCACCTTCACCTCTCCAGCAACAATGAGTTCCTCTATGAAGTCAGCATCAGCAGTACTTGGTGGCATCAAAATTTCATCATCTGTAGTAAAATTGTATCGCTGCCCAATGGCTCTCAGAAGTTGGTACACTTCGAACATAGTAGGCCTCTCCTTGGGAGGGGGCAGTACACAAATACATGCAACTTTAAGGAATTGGAAAAGCTCATTATCATAACCCTTCCCAGCCAAAGAGTTGTCAACGGCATCTCGAAGCTTGGAGTTGCTTGAAAGTTGTGTAATCCATTCCACCAAATTTCCACTAAAGGTTTCAGGGGCTTTAGCCACATGGGTAGGTCTCTCACCAGTCACCAACTCAAGAAGCACAACTCCAAAGCTGTAAACATCCCCCTTAGGGGTGGCCATCAGAGTTCGTGCATATTCAGGAGCGACATAACCCAAATCCCCGAACTCCCCATTCACAAACGTACTCAAATGAGTATCAACGGGGTTCATGAGCCTAGCAAGTCCAAAATCAGAAATTTTGGGCTCAAAATCCACATCCAGCAAGATGCATTTGGAACTTATGTTACGATGAATGATACGGGGATTGCAATTATGATGAAGCCATGCAAATCCTTTGGCCGCCCCTATACCAATTTTGAGCCTCGTAGCCCACTCCATAGATTTACCACCATCATTCACAATATGTAATTTATCATAGAGGGTACCATTTGACATGTGCTTATAAATCAAAAGTCTCTCTTTCTTAGCCATGCAAAAACCAAGAAGAGGAACCAGATTACGGTGTTTCACGTTCCCCAAAGTACCCATCTCAGACATAAATTCTTTTTCAGAGTGTTGACTATTTTGCAACCTTTTCACCATAAGTGAAGTGCCATCTTCAAGGACTGCCTTATACATAGTTCCCGTTCTTCCTGATCCAATGATGTTGACTTTGCTGAAATTGTTAGTAGCCTTCATGAGATCACTTAATCTCATTTTCGAAACAGACTTCTCGAACATGGAAAGCTGAAAATTACAATACCTTTTTTTATCAATTGATATTGCTAGAATAATGAATCTTGGAAATTATAAAATTATCAAATATTACGGGAAATAGATAATTGAATAACTAAAAAAAAAATCCTACTCAATAGTAAAAGGCTGTCAGAGCAATAGATTAAATCAGCCTACCTTGATTCCTTTGGCTCCCTTTATACTCTTCGCCCATTTATTTTCTTCAGGGTCTTCTTCCTTCTTCTTTTTAGACACCCTACGGATATAGGGGAACATACCAATAACACCTAATGCTGCAACAATCAGCCCACCAGCAGCCGCTCCGGCAATGATTCCAGTGTGGGTTTTTGCCTTGGGACCTTGGCAAGGGGGCAAAGGACCCCCGCAGAGTCCATCATTATTTGCATAATTCTCTGCTGGAATTGTAGCATTGTAAAAATTTGGAACTGGCCCACTCAAGTGATTGTGGGATACGCTAAATGTCTTCATCCGACCAAGCAGGCTAAGCTGTGCAGGAATTTGACCTGTCAACTGGTTGTTGTCGAGTTTAAGAATATTCAGATAGGTACAATTGGCAAGGCCTGATGGGATCCCTCCAGAGAAATTGTTAGATGATAGATCAAGAGATGTAACATACTGGACTAATGTAGAGATGTCGGCAGGAATAGCTCCATAAAGCTTGTTGCTGGAAAGATCTAAGCCTGTCATGGCTGAGCAATTTACAAGACCACGTGGAAACTCGCCCTTGAGTCCCATGTCTGGAAGCCGGATATTTAAAACCTTGTTCTCATCAGGATGCCAGCATTCAATTCCAATAAATGTACATATGAAACCTTCAGTACCATTATCAAAATTCCATGAAGTGCTTAAGTAATTGAATGGATCTTCCAAGGAAGCTTTAAGAGCTTTTAAGCACTGAATATCACTCTCAAGACCATAGCTGAAACTGTCATCCAACAACAACAGTACTAGGATACCAACAAAAAGAGTAAAAGTTCTGCTAATTAGTGCCATATTTATGAAGAAGCCCATCACAACTCGCACGGATCTAAGGATGAGAACCCCTTGATTGCTGTTTAGCTCAAATTAGTAACCTGCAATACCATGTTCCTTTTAACACCTGACCTAAAACAAATAAAAAATCAACATAGAGAATAAACTGAATTTGGCACTCTATGTAAGTAACTAGAAGACGAATGCAAAGTCAAAACAGAACTACTTTAACTAACAGATGAGCAATTAACAAAATCTTTCATGTACCAAAATTAAGAGACAAAAGTACCAGGGGAGTTTATGCAATTATGCTGATGCCCCCTTACCAAGAGAGGACAAAAAATTATTGTCTAAAGCAAGAGAGAGAAATGAAGAAGGAAAAGAATGCTAGAACAGGGAGGGGAAAAAAAAAAAAAAAAAAAAAAAAACGAAGCAGCAAAAAACAGTTGCTACAATTCTTTTAATATAAATCACCCCCTCTTTAATGCCCTAGCCACCCTTTATCTAGCAATCCTACTAAAAAACAGAAAACTACATAAATCAGGAAAGTTTTGAAAAATGAAAAATCAGAACATAACAAAAATCATAAAGTTGACAGCAGAAAATTAGGGATTTTATTTGGCCTTCTTTGCACTCCTAGCCTTCTTTGGGTGCTCCTAACAGTTCATAAAATCACTAACTACATCATTTGCACTCTATGTAAAATTTCAACATAAGAAATAAATAAAGTAATTAGAAATGAAAACAAATAAGAAACAACTATTGTTTCAAATAATTAACCTGAAATTTTTTGAAGTAAGGAAATAAAAAAAAGGGGACAACATGCATGGAAATCCCAAACCTTAAGAGTCCCTGAATTAAAAAGGGGGAGGAGGACCGAAAACACAATTAAGTTTAACTAACGGATTATATTTAAAAAAAAAAAATTCAAAGATAACCCATAGGAAGAAAATCAATCAAAAGATGAAAAAAAAGCACAAAGAAGAAAACTTCAGCTACGCAGACCTACAAATAACGCATGAAATTGGAAAAACTAAACCTAATATAATGAGCATCCAAAATCTTCAGTCCTCAAAGTAGTGAAAACACATACCCAATTGACTTCCCTCAGTCTTTTATCACCATGAGAATAAATTCCCGAAACCCAGTTGAAAAAAAATGGAAAATTGCTAAAGAATTTCAGAGAAAGCCACATCACAAACCCTACCTCATAAAGATCAAACAACCCAGGGAAGGTCCATCGCTGTCTCGACAGAGAAAATCAAGAACTTGGTGATCGCACCTCCAAATCAACCAAATGCCTCAGAGAGAAAGCAACGACCCAGTTTGTTGAAAAATTCAAAGCCGGCAATAAACGTTCAAAGAGAAATGGGGTAATAAAATAAATTGAGCAGAAGGCAATGAGAGTGGACCAGCAAGAAATAGGTAGTAAATGTGCCTGTAAATTTTGGCGGTTTGAGATTCAACTGAGGGCCGTTCGATTGGAAGTATTGTTGGAGAGGTGAGAGGTTATTGTTGGGTCAAAGAAGGAACGCCCATCTTTTTCCAAGCTACGTACGACTGCAACGACACTCTTTGCTGTGAAAAATAAAGTAGGAATTTGATGACTTGGGCTCGTATGATTTGAGCTCGTTCACACAAAACCCATAATTTATGGGATTAATTTCATTCACCTTTAAATTTTATCAAATATCACTCATAAATATTTTTCAAAAATAACAATCAATTAGCTTCATTTTTTCTTTTTCATCATAATCACGATTAAAAACATAAAAAGGACAGTTTTGTTTCTAATTTTTTAATCTCATTTAGTCCTAAATATAAAGTTATTTAAATGACCATTATACCCTCATTGACACCTCCTCGTAAAGTGCTCACCGCCGCAGCAAGGCCACCACCCACAAGCCACCACGAAGAGGAGGATGTTCAGTCTGTGGCCAAATGCAGAATTTAGTTTGTAGTGAATAAGACCAATAAAGATATATAATATAATTTGTAAATTTAAAAAATATTTAGAGATATTTTAATATTTTTATCTAATTATTTAAGCTAAAAGAGTTATTTTGACAAAGTCGAATGATATTTAAGTCATTTGGGTGTAAATCAAAAATGGAACAAAAGTTTGTAATAGTTATTTTTGAAAGATATTTTAAGATAATATTTGGTCAAATTTGAAGAAGTGTCAGTGAAATTAACCCTATTTTGTATGTTCACGTAAAAAGTTGATTTTTTTTGCTTTCTTGTTCTTTTTACCCCTAGATTGAAAAGGAAATAGGAAGATAATAGGGAGGTGATATTTAGGCTTTGGATGTAAAATACATATTGTCCCATTGTCATAAAAAATTTACAAAGAAAAAAATATTAAAATTTAACAAAAATAACTTATTCATTAATTTTTGACAAGTTATTTTATATGAAATGATTTCGACCTCAATCTTGACTTGGTTCTTTGCCAAATATAGAAAAATAAAAATTTAGAAAAAATATTTTACCTAAAAAAATATATATTTTTTGAGTAAAATATTTTACGTGAAAATAAACGGATCCTTAAAAAATGAAAACACCATAATTGGAGTTATGGTTGTCCATTCACCCTATGTATTGTCTAAAAATTATTTATATCCCAATTCATATGGAGCATGAAATCATGAAAAGTGTGTTTACGTGCTGTTTGATAAAACTGAAAATTAAGCACTGAAAATTTCAAGTATTGAATTTTAAGCGCTGAAACTTTAAGTACTGATGAATGTATTAATTTGAAAACCTGTTTGATAACGTTTTAATTTTAAGCGCTTAATTCATTAAAATTGTTTGTTATATACAAAAGCTGAAGTCTGAAAGTTGTACATATTACATTTTTGCCTTTAATATCTGATACTCATAACAGTTTTATATTTATAATACAAAAATATTAATAAAACAACCACATTCACTAAATGAAAATATATCAATTTAACAATGAATATTAATGTCAAATATAATCATAACAAAATATAAATTCAAGATTGGAAAACGGGCCTTTAATACTCCAAATGTTCGTTCAATCACATTTCTCAGCTTGGCATGCGCATGGTTAAATAGCTATTCTTTTGTTTTAGGACAACCACCATTTTGAAAGTTGGCAAATCAATATCGTACATTACGATAAGATATCATAAATCTTCGGGTGCGTGTGTATACAACATCACACAAATAATATTTATCTACAATGTAATATGTTTAAAATGGTTAATAAAGTATATGATAAGTAAATTTTTTTTTTTCTTACATGATAAATAAATATTCAAAAATATTATTACTAAAGAAAGTAATTGTTATATTTGAAACACAATTCTTCTCTGAGAATAAAATTCTATTATATAAATAATTACATAATATTTGTTGAGGTTGAATTTCGCCGCGGTCTAGTACGATACCGTTTCCTGCAAAATAAGGATGGCAAAGTCAAACACCGGTGTTGTGCCGGCCGTTGACCCTCCGACGATCAAGTCAGCAAGGATTCTCGATAGAGAATTTTAATCGTAATTTGCTTAGTAGGAGTTTTTTTGTGCCTACCTTATCCCCAAGTCGTCTTTGTCTTTATAGTCACTTCCCTTATTCTTGATAAGGGAGTTCCATCGTCCTTAGCCCATAGAGCCTACCTCGTGGAAATCCTATCCTTGATAAGATTTGAACTTATCCCATGACAAATCCTATCCTAGATACGATTTATTTAATAGAATGGTTATCCTTAATAACGAGATATTATCGTCTGAGAGTTGGAGAAATCTGGTGGCAGGTCAATATTTAATTCCCTTTTTTGTTAAGTCAAGATAGGCTAGGGTTATTTTTTCCTATCAGTTGCCCCCTATTTCTGGGTACGTGGTGGACCAAGGAAATACTTTCTATATTCCATTTGTTTCCTTTTTACTACAGGCCCCTTCCATATTGTAGTAGGACTCCTTTATAAGAACTTCACTGTTACTTGAAAAAGAATTTTTTTTCCTATAAATAGATAAATATATATTTATTTATTTACCTTCCTTTTCTTTTTGGTTTGAAATCCTCCAAACTGGATCCTAACTGTGAGTTTATTGTGGATCGTTGTAGATACGTAATTAGGTCAAGTTGTCTCTACCAGGTTATTGGTGTAATTCCAAAGTGGTTTCGCTATTTTCGCGATATCCGATGCCTCATCATGTTCGTGCAGAAAAATAACTTGAATACTGAATCTCAATCCGAGGACTCAACCTCTGAAAGTGTTGAAGAACTCGATCCTGACTATGCTGATGAATCTGGTGTTGATTACTCCTCAAGACCAAGGACTGTTTTTTCCAAGCAACCTCCTCGTGAAGGAAAATCCTTAATGAAGGATGAGAATTTACAGAGTTGTAGAGTTAAATATTCCATTCCTTCATCTATTCGTCTTCACAAACCCAAACCAGAAGATAGATGTTCTTCTATTCGTTTGGGTGAGGTATGTTTTTTCGAGTCGACTTTTACTACGGGCTTGCATTTTCCGATTCACCCATTTGTAGAAGAAATTCTTTCTCATCTGAAGATAGCTCCTTCTCAAATTGCTCCTAATTCATGGAGAATTATTATAGGCTGTTTGATTGTTTGGGGAAAGTGTGGCAATGGCCATCTAACAGTAAATCAATTCCTGCATTTTTATTATCCCAAGAAGAAAAAAAGACAATTTTTGGTACCTCCAGTGTAGATCAAAGAAGACATACATCCTTGTCGCAACCCCTGAAAATAATAAAGGTTGGAAGAGTCGTTTCTTCTTTATTTCCGGTGCATACGGGAAATTTCCAACTATTTGGAATAATTCAGATCCAACAGGTAAGATTTATTTGTATACAATAATAGTATTGACGGACCAACCACCTAGGCAGGTTCTCCGCAAACCTGATACTTCAGGGCGACTCATGAAGTGGTCGGTAGAACTTGGAGAGTTCGATTATTCCCTCGGGTACTGTTCATGAATATGATTTTTTTTTATTTATTTATTTATTTTTTTTTTGCACCCGAGGGAATAGTACCCTCGGGTACTGTTCATGAATAGGAAATTTTTTTTTTTTTTTTTTTTTTTTTATGTGCAACTTATTATTCTTTTTCCCAGAATTTAAGGACAAACCAACCCTCTCCATTCCAGAAGCTGAGCATGTTGGTAATGCCTCTTCTTACCCAGTAAAGACCTTTAGCGATCTCATAACTGACGAGGCTTTAGATTTGTATGTACGAGCTCATAGCTTAAAGGAAACCTCCACCCACTTAGAGAAAGGTAAGAAAAACAAACATACTTATATGTGAACTTATTGATTTTTAGTTAATATCTCATTAAGTATTTCCCTTATTACTTTTCATGCAGGCAAGAAGCTCAGTAAAAGACTTCTAGCCCAAGTCCGGTCAAGTAATCTCCCTTCAACTCCTGCTTCCAAAAAATTACGAAGGGTAGGAGAAGGGAATCATGGTACATCCGCAAGCCCTGGAGTGTTATCAGGTCCTACTCTTGTACCTCTAGGTTTCAGCGGATTTGGTGGGGTTCCTACTAGTTTCGAAAGTTTTTGTTCAGTATCAACCAACCAAGCCTTTTCCCACGGGGAATCGATTCTCGATGACGCTAATGTCGCGAATGACAGGTTACATAAAATGGTAGTAAAAGGCGACAATGCCAGATTGCAGAGTCTGCCAGCATCTAAGCTTTCAAAGAAATTTCTTCATCTAATCGGCCAGGTGAGATTTTACCCTTATTATGCGCATCTATTTTTTTTCGTTTATTTATTTATTTATTTTTAATTGTTCGCCACTATTTATTTATTTATAGGGCACTACATACTCTGTTGTTATCGCCAAAGAATACGAGAAACTTTCCCTAGAGATGGCTTCCCTTAAGGCTAAATATGAAGATGTTACTTCTACACTTAAAATAAAAGAAGATGACTTGACTAATGCAAAATTAAACTTTCAAGATGAGAAAGTGAAACTTACCAAAGAATACTCTGATAAGCTGGAATTCGAGAAGCTAGCTGCCGTGGAGAATTTTAAAAATTCTAATGAATTCAAGGTGCTCATAGGCAAGGCTTGCTGTGATGGTTTTGACCAGTTCAAAGCTCTTTTCGGCAAAGATCGTCCAGACATAGACTTTTCTAGGTATGACGTTCTAAGTGAGAGCGAAGAGGAAGAGGAAGATTGAATTCCATAGTATTAGTCATATATATATATATATATATATATATATATATATTAGGTTTTTTGATTTCTCAGTATGTTGTTCCTTTAAAACTTTTCAGAATATCTTTGAATCCAGAGAATAGTTGCTCTACTTTTGTCTTTCATGGTATTATTCCATACTTATTGTTTCCTTATACAGAACTCATTTTACTTTCCCAGGCTTCACTCAGCCCGTCCTTCTTTCGAAGGAACATATTTTTACGAGCTTCACCCAGCTCGTCCCTTTAGTAAGGAAAAGTCACTTACTTCTTTTAATAAAGAAGGGGACTTAATGTGTCACTAGTCCTTATGTGACTTATAAAATTCAGTAGAAACACGTGCAATAAATACGAATAACCATTTTATTAAAGACCTATCGAAAATAATAATCGATA